TCTAATTTACGGGACATCCGATTTGTCGTGTTTAACCAAGATCAAGCATTAACTACCGCCTTCAAACAAGAGATGGACAAACTACAGCCCAAGCAAACTGGCCTCCCTACCATCACGACTTTAACTAGAGGAATACGTTCCTTCTTTAGATGGAAGAAAACAGTGGGGACATTGGGTGTAAACATTGAAGTCTTGCAGGGCGACTTGTGCCAGGAAACTACGGATGCCATAGTGAATATAACAAGTAAGGACTTGAATATGGACAGTGCTGGAAAGTTGAGCCAGACAGTGAAACAGCTAGCCGGGCCACAGGTTGAGACTGAGTTGAAGCAGTTCGGACAGCAATCAGGTGGAACCGCATTGATCACCAGCAGTGGAAATCTCCCTACGCAGAAAATTATTCACTTAATTCCAGACACCAATAATAAAGACCACCTCCAGCAGTGTGTTGAAAGATGTCTTCGGCTGGCAGAGAAGCATAGTCTTAGATCCATTTCGATTCCTGCAGTTGGTACTGGTGCATTCCATGTTTCTGCAGTGGACTCGGCCAGTCTGATATTTAAGGCCCTGACAAACTTTAGTGGAAGCTTCCGTAGTGTCCGCAAGGTCAGGATCGTAATCTTCGAGTCTCCAATGTTGTCGGCATTTCAGCAAGAACATCAGAGGCACTCGTTTTCTCCACAAGTAGGTGTGGCTCAGCGCATGACCTTAACTAGCCCTTTCAGTATCGAGGTGATAAATGGTGATTTGACGCAAGAGAACACTGACACTATCATGAATATCAACAGCACGGACATGAACATGAATAACGCCGGAGACCTAAGCAAAGCCATAGCAAGACAGAGTGGTCCACAAGTGCAACAAGAATGCAACCAATTGGGAAAGCAGCCTCCTGGAACAGCAATAATGACAAGCGGAGGTAATTTACAAGTACCTCATATTATTCACATAATTCCAGGCTCCTCAGATAAGCAACATCTCCAGCAATGTTTGGAGGAGGGTCTTCGCGTTGCGGACGCCAATAACTTTCAAGCTATCTCAATTCCGTGTGTTGGCACAGGAGGATACGGCTTGAACGGAGCGGACTCAGCCCAACTGACGTTCAAAGCACTAAATGCATTCAGTACCCGCTGTAAAAATATTCAAAAAGTAAGAGTGGTCGTGTTCCAGGCCTCTATGATGCAGGAGTTTCTACAAGAGCAGAAGAAACAGCTGGTGCAAGGTATTGAAGAAGACAGTGACTCAGAGGATGCAGTAGCCAGGCAAACCCAAAGACGCGGACGTAGGCAGACACCCGGCCAAAGTGATGAACATTCTGTAAGAATTTCTGTGATCGGCAAAGACAAGGTGAGCGTGGGAAAAGCCGTGGAGTCCTTGAAGAAAGGTTTCTCTGACGCTTGTACAATGGAAAAAGTCGAAAGTGAAATCGTCAGTCAGCTTTCCGATAAGCAGAAAGATATCCTGAGAAAAAAGGCTAAAGACCGTGACGTCAAACTTGAAATTGAGGATGACGTTGATCGCATTGTCGTTCGTGGTGGACCAACCGAAGTTTCTGGAATGGTCGGGGATATCTGGAAAGAGATCAGCGAGAGGACGAAGAAGAAGCAGGAGGAAGAACAAGCGAAGTTGGTTTCAAAGAACATAGAGTGGAGCTACGAAATACAAGGCATACAAATGGCGTTCGCTCCGAAAACAAATGCCAAGATTGAGTTGGCCTACAGCAAAGACGAGCAAGCAGTGCAAGTTTCTCTACGAGGAGACAAGTTTGTTATCGACTTGAAGAGAAACTCTGGACTTGGACAAACATCTGGTGAACAAATAACACTGACAAGAAAGGTGAAGGGTGCTGATGAAGGTTAGTTGCTATGCATTTCTTTTGAAGAGGATGTTTCGATAAGCTTTAAGAAAGGACTGAGAGCTATTTCATGTCCCAGAGGACGTTTAAGGTAATAAACATTTAATACAGGAAGGAGATATTCAGAAAAGCTGTCCAAAAATGGGCCATCCAGAGCTTTCTTGTTAATCTTGTATGTGTCTTACCTCAAATATGCTCTTGGATGTTGAAATTTAACCTCAGTCAATGGGTTTTCATTTCAACATTCTAATCTTTTGGTCCTTTCTGTAGGAATTGCTCTGCCAAAGCACTGGACACCAATGCCCGGGCATGACTCTACTGTACATAAAGTACAACTGCTCCCAGGCTCCCCTGAGTATCAAGATGTCGTACGTAAGTTTCAAGCCACAGCCGGTGCCTTAAATATTCAGAAGATTGAACGCGTACAGAATCCTCATTTGTATCAGTCCTACATGGTAAGAAAACAGAAAATGGATAAAGATACAGGAGGAAATAGTGAAAGACAGCTGTTTCATGGAACTGATGCTAAAAACGTCAACCATATAAACACACAGGGATTCAACAGGAGCTTCTGTGGGGCTCATGGTAAGTCAACGCTCTACCATTGAGCTACAGACTCTATGATGAGCAGGGTATTCAAGTGGATAATGTGTGGCACACTTTCCACATACTGCTAGGATCATAGCTTTCGAAAGCTTCGTGTGAGAAAAAGGAGCATTAAAGAAATATTTTCCAGCGATTGTTCCTAACCAGTGAAAGCGTATTTTTGGCTAAGCTAATTGTGTTTTGGCCACTATTCTATTCATATATTTGTCCACCTTTGCTACCTAGTCACTCAGACGTTGCCTGGCCGAATCGCTCTTTTGAACCAGAAAATGGTAATAAAAGCTGTATTAATAGAAGAAGAATACAATTGCCTCTTTCATAACAAATAACTTTATTGAATGTATTATGATTTTGTTGATATCTTTTCTCTAAATTGAGCATTTTTTTCAGGCACGGTCTATGGACGTGGTGTTTATTTCGCCAGAGACGCTCACTACTCTGTTCGATACGCTGGGGGTGGTGGTTTTGGAGGGCGCCACATGTACCTTGCTAAGGTTCTCGTTGGGCAGTATTGTGTTGGAAATTCTTCAATGATTGTGCCTCCACCAAAAAATCCATCAAAACCTGAAATTCTTTACGATTCTGTGGTAAATAACCAATCAAGCCCCAGCATCTTTGTTGTTTTCTTTGATAATCAGTGTTACCCTGAATACCTTATAACCTTTTGAAGACCACATGGACCTTTTACTTAGAAAACAGCAGAGTTAAAGGCCGAAAAAGCTTGAAATGCTTTATAGTTCAACTTAGTTTATCAGCTATATGAATTGCAGAAAATCATTCTCCTTCACAGTGTAGGGAACATCATATAGATATTGGTTATAGTTTCTCAATAGCATTCTTTACAGTCTCAACTCAAAGCTTATTCTTTATCCTATAAATTGAATGATTATATCCTTGGAGCTAGAGGGTCCTTGTAATGCCAAACAGTAAAATCCAGCTGAACGCTTTTTTATCTCAACAGTGGAGTTACCACTAGCCTACAGGCAGCAGTTGTCATTTTTTACGTTTCTCGGGCGAGCGTAGGGAAACGCGAGACATGCGCGGGGACCACGACATAGTCGTGTTCCTCGCCCCACGCGTTCACCTCGCGCTTGCCCCGTTTTCTCTCTTGGAAAAGAAAAGAGTTCTGCTGTTCTCAAAACGGTATTTTCCTTTTTACCGCCAGACTGACAAACAATATTTTGTTACATCAATTTTCTACCAAAAATAAAACTGGCGAAAGTAGAGAATTTCGAAAAATATACGTACCTTTTTGAGAAATTACAGTGAGGTCGCTAAGATGACATTTGATTTATGATGTAAAAGATTTACTGAAAAGAAACTTAGAGAAGCATTTATTATTAGTTGGCAGCCAAAAGCTCGGTCAGAAAGTGTGGCATAGTATTACCCACGGGTTTCACGAATAGGTTTATTTACTGAAATAAAATATAGAAAGAAAAATGAACGTGTTAGTTTTTTTTCGTCTTCAACTAGTGGTTCTGTGGCAATATCCTACGTTTTTCGGTATGAACGAGTGAGGGAGAGGAAGTACTACAAGCAGATAAGAACACTCAGACAAGAAACCCCCTATCAAAATTTCTATAATCGCAGTGTAAGTCTTCTGAGTAGAGTAATCCTTGCTTTTGTAGAGAGACCGTGGGAGTATGAGTGTTGCGTGACAAGCAAGCGGCATCACTTGTCACGAATATTTTCGCGCCAAAACTGAAAGGCTCCTTGTTCGCAATTGACACTTTGTAATACTAGCTTGCAAAGGAAGGAATTTTTGATTTCCCATTCACACCTCCCATCTTATTCCTTCTCGGCTTTGAGGCTGTCCCCATCTGTTTCTGCCTGCCTCAAGAGAAATCAGCTTTCCACAGATAAATACAGGCGAATAACAAAAGGTCATTTATCCACCATTTTCAAAACAAAGATAAGTGTATTTGTAGTTTGATATCGTGTAATGATTTACCTCTGTAGTAATAATACTATTGTGATCGATTCCGCAATTATAAGCTAAATCTCTAGATATTTATTTACTAATCGCTCTATAAGGGGACTGTTTAGTCTTTTTCCAACTTTTGGTACCCTCCCAGCTTGTCAGCAAGCCAACCCGAGCAACAAAGTAAATCTTGTGTCATTTGCCGTATGGTTTTTCTGGCCATCGCGAGGGCGATGTTTCATACACGGTCAAACCCAAGACTGTGTAAAAGTTACATTTGGAATCTTGCGCGCGGAGTAAACGGCAATAGAATATTCCTGTCCTAGTTTTTCATCGTTTTTCATTATTTTAGAAATGTCTCAAAAGAGCGGCTGCGAAGAAGGCCTTTGTGACGAGACATTGCAAGAACTGAAGTTAAAAAGACCACATTCGTTTTTTGTAAACTATTTCACACGCAAAGTTTATTAGTGGGCCTCGTTTCTGTGTACCTCATTAGCTTCCAGGCATACTCGACTTTATGTGGTGTTAAATGCTATGTGCTTCTTGATCTCTTTTGTACGGTGTTCCTGGCTATTGTTTTCGACTTTCCGATGATCTTTTCTCAGAACAGCCATCCAGATACCAAAAGCAAGACGCAAAACGTTCAAGAAGACAATGCAATCCATTTTGACAAAATTTACTGCTCCAAGGGGGTTTTGAAGTTCTCACATAAGTATCGATTGCCACAAGTCAGGTCCATTGAGAAGCGGCGAAAAGATTGGTTTCAACTCCTTCTCCTGTGCAAACCGGAGAGTCACCTGCAAAGAAGCCCCGTTTGGCACATGATTTTGGGCCAGATCCGCAAACAAAATAAACATACAACTCGCTGTTAAAAAAGAAAGACTTCGAAAAGGTCTCGCAGACGCCTTCACAATTCAAAAGATCGAACACAAAGATGTTGTTAAGCTCTTTAAAACACAGCTCATCAATCTCAAGAGATTCGCCAAGTTTACTGACGTGAAGTTGTTGATCACGTGACACGGATGTCGTTACATATGTCGTGACATCGCGTCACGACTATGTTCGCAATGTATTATGGATAAATAAGTATGAGCACGCCTTCAAGATGGCGTGGTAATGTTGTTGTTTATAAATGTTGTTTTTTTGGAAAATGAGCCTTAATCCTGTCTCGAATGATTGAGCGAACCGCGAACTACGACAGAGCAACAACAGATTGTTAAAATTGAATATTTTACGATCACGTGTGCAGGTGTCATTCTTGTCCAGGGTGAACACGTGACAGTGATAGTCAGCAAAATTTGGCGACGTATGAACGAAATATCCAAAGGTTTTTTCGAAATCATATAAAAAAACGACCACGTCAACTTACAATTACGCTAAGTAGCAATCTTGGTTTGACCAGCGAAACATTTCTAGATCACGCAAGCAGTTTTAGCTGCTACAGTGCCAATTTTCTTCTCGTGATGAGGGTTACCCATTTCGCTCACATTTATTTAATTTTCTGTTTACAAGAGAAGTAAACTTTAATAATGCAGTCTTGTCATTCTCCGTGTCTTAAAAAACATTGCTGAAAATAACTGGACTCACACGTAACACACGGAAAGGAGAGTCCCAATTTGGCTTTCTCCCAGCTCCCTACCTCTTTTTCCCCTCAGGGTTTCCCAAGAAAACCGGAATTACATAGCGAACTTCATTCAAAGTAAAAGCGCGGTGAATTTGAATGAGTTATTTATGACAGTGTTTCTGTTGGGAAAGGAAGAAGAATCCTCGCTTGAAAAACTGTAAAGATTGACGGTAAGTTTCTTGGATTCCTTATGAATTATCCTGATGTAATAATTTCTCAGAATTTTCAGGGATTTATCAACTAACACAAGTTCTCCCAAAGCGGAACAATTTTCTAGCTTTGTACTAGAAAATACAAGCAAGTAATTCTACTTAAGTACTCTCAGGCGTGATATACGACTTCTTGTGTTAACTCCTTGATAAAAAGATTAATAGCCAACTTCAAATATTTGCGATTGAAACTGCATCATACTCTTACTTTCTATTGTTTTCATTCGCATTGTAGTCTTTGAGTAAGCAGCTACAAACATCTCTTTTTTTCCATATTTAGCATTCGCCAATTCTACAAATCATCAGGGTCAAATTTCAAGCTCGTGCCTCATCAACAATGGATGACGAATACTCATATTACGGTAAGGATGCTTCATTGCAATGTGCAATGAATGTAAATTGAAACCAAACCGATAATATTCTTGTGTACTTGTACGAGCGTTTGCACCCGTGATTGTTGGATAGTCGATTTTGTACCTCTAGTTTTAGGTAAAGATTAGTGATAAATGGATTTAGAACGTAATCTGGTAGAATCTTGCGTTAAAGCGACCGATCGAGAGATTTTTAGCTCGCATATCGTAGAAGTTGCATTACGCACCACTGCACTCACGCTTGTGATCATGACTTCGCACATTTCTCGAATTCTTGTGAATTTCTCGAAGTTTTATGATTATTTTAATTTAAGAAATAACGTGAAAGAGCAATTGTTGCCTGCTGTCTCAATGTGCGGGATTTGACAAATTTGCTAAAAATTAAGCACAGCAATCTCGAAGGGTGGAAGCATCCGGAAGCAATTGTTTGCACTTGAAAACTTCTGATCCATGAACACTTTCACTAAAATTTCACAGTCAAGGAATGACGCCTCTTGAGATGATAGAGTCCTCAAAATTACTGGTTGATAAATCACAATCCGAAAAACATTTATTTCCTTTACTCATCGGAAGGACATTCCACATGTTATTTACTCGACTTAAACCGGACGTCATAACACGAGTGTAATTACATTCACCCACCATCAATTTTTTGATCAATTTTTACATCAATCATTTTTAGACAGTCTGTTATACAAACAAATCGATATCAACACCAGGAAATAAATATTTCTGTCTCAGCTTGCTTCAATCAGCTAGAAGCAGAAAAAAATTATTTGTCGCAACGGAAAAGGTAAAATAGGCGGGAAAAAAATAATACCGTTAAATGAACCGTGTGCCTTGAATAAAAAAAAATTCGCTATATATATCACAGGCATATTATGCATGCAAGAGTTATCTCAGTTGGGGTGGGTGGATTGATTGAAACATTGTAAGTGATGTCTACATTTTCACAAAAGGAAAGAGTACTAACGCGGAAAGGAACCAAAATGTCCAACTAAATCACTCATGGGTATTTTGTGGTCGATTGTGTGTGTTGGCGAATAGCTATAACCAAAAATATACTGTATTGGTGCCACGGATACCTGTTAGAACAAATTGCAGAATGCTGGGTGCAGACCGGATACAAAATGTAGACTGCAGACTGCAGAAAGGGTACAAAATGCAGACTGATAATTTAAAGTGTTTTTTTCGCCTGGTATGTGATGACATGTCATCTTACGACTTACCGAGCGTCACGCAATCGCTCTTCCGCGATCAGCTTTCACCGTTATTTGCGCTATTGTAGAATATTCATGGTCTGCTTCTTGATCAAAATCGTTCTAAATATAATTTCAAGCCTTCATATAGTCTTCTCACATTGCGCGCGAGTCGGTTGGTGCGATGCTTGTACAGATTTTACCAACTTACTGAAAGTAGATGTAGATGTAGATGTAAATGAGATGTCATTTTTGAATATTTAACACGCGCAATATTCGAGAAACAATTATTTTTAGGCGGTATGACTTTATTTTGTTGACAAAAATGCGTACCGAGATCAAAACTGTTCCTTCGACTTGATGTATTTTCAACGTCAGTAGATCACGTAATTTTAACTTACCTCCGTAAATCATTCACTCCAGTTAACAGAATCAAATAAACATGCTAGCGATGGTATTTGAATTCGTCCTTGGCCAAACATAAACGACTCCACAAGCTCACTTTCTCCAGTTAGGAAAACATTTCCATTCGTCCAGTGTTCTCAAAATTACCCTCGGAACAGCCAAACAATTTCCCTTAACAGCCAATCATGACACAAAATCCACCTTGCAACACACTCGCAACTGTTGAAACTGCTAACATCGAAAGTAACACACCACGATGTTTACCATGAAATTTACTGCAAACAAACCACCCAAAAAGAAAACTCAGCCATCTTTCGTAGAAAAATGGTTGTTTAATAAAAACACTTCCTAACATTGCATATAAATCAAACACGATGTCACATGAAGCGACAAAGCTTCCTAGGAGCCACACAAAATCTTCCATAGTTAATTTTAATCAGACATTCATCCAGAGGTGGCATCGAGCAAACCAATCCATAAAAATATTATCGGTACACTCTACAAATCATGAATATTGTAACTTGCCGTTAAAGAAATGCCAAAATCAAAATGTTTGGTACAATTCATCAACACCTCAAGCGATACTTGATTCAAAATTTTTCCACACTTTCTCGTCGTGAAGGAACAATAACCATGATCATGCTACAGTGCACAGGACTCTATTTTCTCTCGAACAACTACCCACCATTTTCACAGCATGAGTAACACGTT